GTATATATCCAAAGGATTATAAATCATTCTACTATAAGGACACGTGCACACGAATGTTCATTGCAGCACTGTTTACAACAGCAAAGACCTGGAACCAACCCAAATGCCCATTGATGATAGACTGGACAGGGAAAATGTGGCACATATATACCATGGAATATTATGCAGCCATCGGATGTGTCCTTTGTAGGTACATGGATGAACCTGGAAACCATCATTCTCAGCAAACTGACAGAAGAGCAGAAGATCAAACACCGCATGTTCTTACTCATATGCAGGTGTTGAACAATGAGAACACATGGACACAGGGAGGGGAGCACTACACGCTGGGGTCAGTTGGGGGGAAATAGGGGAGGGACGATGGGGGGTGGGGAGCTGGGGAGAGGGAGAGATAGCAAGGGGAGAGATGCCAGATGTAAGTGATGGGGAGGAAGGCAGCAAATTACACTGCCACGTGTGTACCTATGCAACAATCTTGCATGTTCTTCACATGTACCCCAAAACCTAAAATGCAATAAAATAAATGGGGAAAAAAAATCTGGAGGCAACAGATGCTGGAGAGGATGTGGAGAAATAGGAACAATTTTCCACTGTTAATGGGAGTGCAAATTAGTGCAACCATTGTGGAAGACAATGTGGTGATTCCTCAAGGACCTAGAAATAAAAATACCACTTGACCCAGCAATCCCATCACTGGGTATATACCCAAAGAATTATAAATTGTTCTATCATAAAGAAACATGCACATGTATGTTCATTGTGGCACTGTTTACAATAGCAAAGACCTGGAACCAACCCAAATGTCCATCAACAATAGACTGGATAAAGAAAGTGTGGCACATATACACCATGGAATACTATGCAGCCATAAAAAACGATGAGTTCATGTCCTCCCTAGGCACATGGATGACTCTGGAAACCATCATTCTCAGCAAACTGACACAAGAAAGAAAATCAAACACTGCATGGTATCACGCATAGGCGGGTGTTGAATAATTAGAACATGTGGACACAAGGAAGGGAGCATCACACACTGCGGTCAGTTGGGGGGTACTAGAGAAAGGACAGCGGGGGTAGGGAGGGTGGGGAAGAATAACGTGGGGAGAAATACCAGATATAGGTAATGGGGGAAGGAAGGCAGCAAACCACCTTGCTATGTATGTACCTATGCAACAGTCCTACATGATCTGCACATGCACCCCAGAACCTAAAGTACAATTAAAAAAAAAAAGGAAAGGAATTCAAAAGAATAGAAAAACTCTTCCGTATGTGGTCCCTGAGAATTTCAAACTAAGAACATGCTTGCCACACTCGACTCAAAGGAATTCTAAGTAAATTAGTGTATTTTATCTTGTAATGGCCTATATTTCATATGGCACACTCTGCCTCAGTTCAGCTCATACCCTAGCTATGATTCTCCCTACAAGAACTTGTCTCTCTCTAGATTTCACGTTTCTTGATTGTCTTAAAATTTCAATGATCTGAAGTATTAAAAAATTTGCAAAAGTCAATTATCTCTGTTTAACAGGTAACTGTTGATTTTACTGTTGTAAAAAATAAAAAAAGTCTCATATATGTACATTTTCAATCTGAATAGCAGACATTTTTATTAAGTCCAAAAATAATAAAAAATTCTAAATATTGATCATCTCTCTAATGAAAAACAAATCATGTTACCTTTTTCCTGGACTAGTCCCCATCATTCTTGATAAAGGAATGTCTGATACACACAATAAAAAGATTAAATTATCAACTATTTAAATTGAGTAACATAAGCCAAAGTAATAAGAGTATGTAATATATGATTCTATTCTTATGAATTCTGGAAAATGAAAACTGTTAGACAAAGAGTGAAATCATGAGCGAACTCCTATTCACAATTGCTACAAAGAGAATAAAATACCTAGGAATATAACTAACAAGGGATGTGACGGACCTCTTCCAGGAGAACTACAATCCACTCCTCAAGGAAAACAGAGGAAACAAACAGATGGAAAAACATTCCATGCTCATAGTTAGGAAGAATAGATATCATGAAAAGTAATTTACAAGTTTAATGCTGACCCCATCAAGCTACCATACACCTTCACAGAACTGGAAAAAACCACCTTATGCTTCATATAGAATCAAAAAGGAGCCTGCACAGTAATGAAAATCTTAAGCAAAAACAAACAAAAACAAAATACAAAACAAAGGCATCATGCTACTTGACTTCAGGCTATACTACAAGGCTACAGTAATCAAAATAGCATGGTACTGGTACCAAAACAGAGATAAACACCAATGGAACAGAACAGAGGTCTCGAAGGTAATGCCACACATCTACAACCTTCTGATCTTTGACAAACCTCACAAAAACAAGCAATGGGGAAAGGATTCCCTGTTTAATAAATGGTGTTGGGAAAACTGGCTGGCCATATGCAGAAGCTGAAACTGAACCCCTTCCTTACACCTGATACAATAATTAACTCCAGATGGATTAAGGATTTAAACATAAGACATAACATCATAAAACCCTAGGAGAAAATCTAGGCAATAACATTGAGGACACAGGCATAGGCAAGGATATCATGACCACAACACCAAAAGAAATGGCAACAAAAGCCAAAATAAACAAATGGGATCTAATTAAACTCCAGAGCTTCTGCTCAGCAAAAGAAACTATCATAAGAGTGAACCAGCAACCAAAAGATAGGGAAAAAAATATTTGCAAACTACCCATCTGACAAATGGCAAATATCCAGAATGTATAATAAAATTGAACACATTTATGGGAAAAAAACAAACAACCCCATCCAAAAGTGGGGAAAGGATATGAACAGACACTTTCCAAAAGAAGACATTTATGCCACAAACAAACGTGAAAAAATGCTCATCATCACTGGTCATTAGAGAAATGCAAATCAAAATCACATTGAGACACCATCTCACACCAGTTAGAATGGCAATCATTAAAAAATCTGGAGACAACAGATGCTGGAGAGGATGTGGAGAAATAGCAACACTTTTACACTGTTGGTGGGAGTGTATATTAGTTCAAACATTGTGGAAGACAGTGTGGCAATTCCTCAAGGATCTAGAAATAGAAATACTATTTGACCCAGCAATCCCATTACTGGGTATATACCCAAAGGATTATAAATCATTCTATTATAAAGACACATGCATATGTATGTTCATTGTGACACTTTTTACAATAGCAAATACTTGGAACCAACCTAAATGCCCATAAATGATAGGCTGAATGAAGAAAATGTGGCACATACACAACATGGAGTATTATGCACCCATAAAAAAGGATGTGTCCATGTCCTTTACAGGGACATGGATGAAGCTTGAAACAATCATTCTCAGCAAACTGACACAAGAACAGAAAACCAAACACTGCATGTTCTCACTCATAACTGAGTGTTGAACAATGAGAACATATGGACACAGGGAGGGGATGAGGGGACTGGTTGATGGGGAAACAGGGAATGGGGGGATTGGGGAGTGAATAACATTAGGAGAAATACCTACTGTAGATGAAGGAGGATGGATGCAGCAAACTACTGTGGTATGTGTATACTTAGGTAACAATCCTGCATAATCTGCACATGTACCCCAGAACTTAAAGTATAAAAAAAAAAGATTAGTAGTTGTCTGTGAATATGTTGGAAGAAGGGAAAGAGAAAGGATAAGGACATGCAGAAGGACAGAGGAAAAGTTGAGGTAATTTAACTTGTCCACCTTCTTGATAATGGTAATAGTTATGTCATGATTATCAATTTTATACTTTAAATATGTAAAGTGTATAATCTGTCAATCAAACCCTATACAATTTATAACAATGAAACAAGTTGAATATTAGACAAGGTAGGAGTGGCAGAAAGATAGATACCAGTATGTTAATTGTCAGAGATCTATCTGACCCTAGTTCTCTCCATAGTTTTAGGTAAACAGGAGAATATGGCAAAATCACATCTATTCTGATCAAGCAGTGGCTTCTGCAAACCACACTAGGCATGTCCAGCTCTGTCCTGGAGTTGGCTAAGGGAGGAGTCAGGGCCAGTGGTGAGAAGCCCAGGCCCAGATACCAGCACTCGCTCTTCCCAGACATGAACTCTGAGATACATATTGAGCCCGTCCATGTGTGGGCTTACTTTCACATCTGTAATAGAGAACATTGACTCCTACAGAACATAATTTACACGCATAGATAAAACTGAGATAAGGTGATCAGTGCAAAGTTTCTGTCACAGTACAATTTAATAATAAGCACATTTTCTCAAACCCCAGTGTTGTCGCCAGTTTTCCTCAGGACACCCTCATCTGCTCGGGGCCCTGCTTTCTCTTTACGTGTCTCGCCCCAGAGCTTGCTATATAGTAGGAGACATGCAAATAGGGCCCTCCGTCTGCTGATGAAAATCAGTGCAGCCCAGACACTGCAGCTCTGGGAGAGGAGCCCAGCCCCAGGATTCCCAGGTGTTTCTGCTTGCTGATCAGGACGGCACACAGAGCACTCACCATGAAGTCTGAGCTGAGCTGGGTTTTCCTTGTTGCTATTTTAAAAGGTAATTCTTGGAGAACTATTGAAATTGAGTGTCAGTGATAAGAGTGAGATAAACCGTGGATATTTGTGGCACTTTCTGACCAGGGTGTCTCTGTGTTTGCAGGTGTCCAGTGTGAGGTGCAGCTGGTGGAGTCTGGGGAAGGCTTGGTCCAGCCTGGGGAGTCCCTGAGACTCTCCTGTGTGGCTGCTGGATTCAGCTTCAGTAACTACTACATGGTCTGGGTCTGCCAGGCTCCAGGGAAAGGGCTGGAGTGGGTCTCAGCTATCAGTACTGATGAGAGTGGCACAAGCTACCCAGACTCCGTGAAGGGCCGATTCACCATCTCCAGAGACAACGCCAAGAACTCGCTGTATCTGCAGATGAGCAGCCTGAGAGCCGAGGACACGGCCGTGTATTACTGTGCGAGAGGCACAGTGAGGGGAGGCCCGTGTGAGCCCGGACACCAACCTCCTGCAGGGGTCCCCGAGACCACCAGGGGACGTCAGGAGCTCTGTGAACTGGGCTGTCTCCAGGGCAGGTGCAGGTGCTGCTAAGGGCTGGCTTGCTGTCAGCATCTGGGGCTGTGTCCTCTAGTTTCCTCAGAGAACCTTTCAGATTTATGATTCTATGCTAACATTTAATGTCTCTGAATGTGAAATCTTCCCCCCTTGTGTTTCTTCACTTTTTTTAAACAGGCGGACACATCCTCACCTCCACAGAAGCCCGAGTGTCACCCTGGGTACAGAAATGACCCTCCCCTGGCCACCAGAATCAGAGTTCTGAGGAAGCCCAGGAGAACCTGGGAAGAGTTTTCCACTCAGACTCAGGGCAGACATCTCTGTGGGAATCTCTGATTGGAACAGGCTCTGGGATTCAGATTGGAACCAAGAAGGAGGCTCATCCATGCCCAGGGTCCTTACAATTCTGACATTTTTCAGAGTAACCTCATTGTCCTTTAAAACTGAACATCTGACTCAGAACTAATCCATTTGTCCCTTTCTCTGCTATTCCATTTTCCTTTTCTCTAGGCTTCATTCTTACACTTCCCTTTTCTCCTTCTTTTTTCTGAAAATGGAGTGTGTGCTTCCTGTGGTCTAAACCACAGGTCTCAGAGACATTGCCTGGAAATCAGCGTGGCTCAGGCTGTGGCTCCTGCAGGACCTGACAGGCTGAGGGGTCCTTCTTATTCCCCATTGCCTTGACGCCCCTGCTGTCTTCTATGCATGGACACATTTGGGAAATGCAAGTGGACACTAATAGTCATTTCTTCAAATGGAATAGTGATGTAGAGCTGATCCTGTGCTTCTCACCCTGTCACAGAGCCCCCACCCTCACCTGGGACTTTCGAGAGAGCTGAGGATAGACACTTTGTTGTGGTGTGGGCTCTGTGTGACAGCAGTTGTGAGATCTGGCTAGGCACAGCCAAAGCCAATGGAGCTGGCCATCAGGAAAGACAGGCTGGAATTCCCAAGAAGTCCTATAGCCAAGACGTAGAGTTCCATTATCTTCTCTTCTGCTGGGATTGAATCAGACCAACCAAATTCCTCTAGGACAATCTTCCTGACTTACAGAAACGTGATGACAGGCTTTAATAACACCTGTAGTATACCATCAGAGCAACGACAACATTTGTGTCTGATTGAATAACTGAGATTATGTTCCAGTCAAGGTGACAGGCAAAACCGATTATTACCATGATTAATATTTTATATTTTACACTGATTAATATTTTAATACTAACATTAATGCAATATTAATATTAACACAATATTTTAAATTTGATAATAGAATCAGACTCATAACAATTGTGCTAAACTATGTGTGTCATTATTGGTTTTCTGAGCAGAAATCTCCAGTAGTGGCTTAAGTTTGCATGCATTTGTGGAAGAAGGGCATCAACCCTTTTGAGGGAAAATGCGTGGAGGGTAAATGAGGCTGGGGAAGCTGATGGCATAAGATGGAAGCCTGTCCCTGAGTGAAGGATAGTGGGAGGGAGGGTTGGGTAGAAATTTCCTATATTTCTGTACTGTGCTAAGAAAGTCTGGAATATCACTGAGTCTTCTGCAAGTCAAGGCTGCCCCTAAGGAAACCCCCATGACCCCCAGTAGTGGCTCTGGCTCAGATGAGTGCAGTGCTCCCTGTATTCCTGTAAATGGAGCACAGGACATGGGCTTCGACATGAGCCATGTCATGCACATCAGAGAGCAGCAGTGAGATGCATAATCCAAGTACGTAGCTCTGCCTGCAGGTGGAGGGAGAAAGGTGCATTGTCAGAGCTAACACGCATGGATTTTTATACAGGACGCACGTTTTTCCTAATTTATTGAAAGGCATATGAAAATGTGTGCAGACTGCAAACAATTGTAATTTTCACATTCACCTGTTCCAAGATGTCCTGCAGAATTATTTCTTCATTGTGCAAGACATCCTGGAACACAGCTGCGATTTTCATGGGTATATATACACACACATAGACATAAATATTGGTAAACATTATAAAATTGATTCTAATATGTATGTGCACAATGATGACTTTCAAACAAATTGTAACAACAGAAACCAGATATATCTTTCCACTGGAAATAACTTTAAAACACAGTGAAATTTCTTAAACTTGATTTTAATATGTTTGACATCAAGTAATAAGGACAGTGACTGTTGAGAGAGGGAAAGTATACAAAAGGAGCCCGCTGGTGAATGCATGCTTACTTTCTTAAGAGAGTTTCCAGGCACAGTGCTCAAGTAGAAACAGGTAGATCTGAAGTTGAGGAAAAGGAGCTGAGATCTCAGACAGGCCAAGAAGTGTGGAGACCACAGAATACACAGAGGATTGCAGAACACTGTTCAGAGAGTGAGCCCCACAGATGGCAGGAGGGTGACCCCGGCTTGGTAGAGTGCAGATCTGTGTGTGGGAACCAGGGCAAGTTGTACACGAGAACACACCCTATTAGAGAAACCATCATTCTCAGCAAACTGACAGAAGAGCAGAAGATCAAACACCGCATGTTCTCACTCATAGGCGGGTGTTGAGCAATGAGAACACATGGACACAGGGAGGGGAGCACTACACACTGGGGTCAGTTGGGGGGAAATAGGGGAGGGACGGTGGGGGGTGGGAAGCTGGGGAGAGATAGCAAGGGGAGAAATGTCAGATGTAGGTGATGGGGAGGAAGGCAGCAAATCACACTGCCACGTGTGTTCCTATGCAACAATTTTGCATGTTCTTCACATATACCCCAAAATGTAAAATGCAATAAAATAAATAAATGGGAAAAAAAAAATCTAAAACTATGGAAAAATAAATGAAATAATTGCCTAGTTTAACATATACCAAAATATATCTTGATAAAGCCAAATAAAAAACAGGTGAATTCACTGCATTACTCACTAGAAAAGTGTATTACCAAACAATGATAACATCAAAGTGAGTGAACAAATCAATTCCATCATGGCAGTCGGCTTAACAGAAAAATATTTAAAATACTTATGGACCTGCTAAAGAAACTTTAAACACAAGCATGAATAGAGTTATCTAATTACAGGAGTGATGGTGTAGGAAGCCCCAAGCTTTCCATTGAAACAACCACATCTGGTAAAAAATAAATGTAAATTTCAACCATTCAAAATCAATGCAAATTATTCTAAGAAAACACAGTAAATAAAAGCTATTGATCGATAAAATGTGCTGCTATAGATTGAATGTTTATTAACCCCACGGTGTCTATGTTGGAATAAATCCAACATGGTGGTGTTAGGAGGTGGGGCCTTTGGTAAGTGAATAGATGTTTTTGGGAGGTGTTGAGGTGCAATCTTTATAAGTAAGATTAGTGCCCTCATGTGGAAATCCAGAGTTTTCCGGCTCCCCTTCCACCATGTGAGGACAGAGTAGGATGATGCTCCTCTCAGAATAATTAATTGGGTCTTCCCCAGATACCAATCTGAAAAGCATCTTGATCTTTAACTTCCTATCCTTTGGAATTCAGAAATACATGTTTATGTTATTTCTGAGCCACCCATTTTATTGAGTTCTCTTACAGCAGCTGAAACAGACTAAAACATTTATGAAGTCTCAAGAAGGAAAGTGAGGGTCCACCAGACTTAAGAGACAAGCATTACTCTGTCATCTTCAGCTCAGGATGACAGAGTCTTGCCCTTGAGCTGATCTGACAAGAAGATGGTGCTTCCTCTCCCCCATATCTCAGTTGAGGCCATGGTGTCAGATCTCTACAATGGAGAATAAATTACAGTCTGTGATGTGATGGATGCGTATCTCTCCCCAGCTTCACTTGCAAGATAGAGTTTCCATGCCATGCATTATAGATCGAAAACAGAGGGACCCCACTGATTCTCACCCCTGCTCACTCTTATGTCAGAGATTCTGGGGAGTTTCCTGCGAGAGGCACAGTGAGACTGTATGAGTCCACTATTCCTATACAGTGCTGTGCTCTTGAAGCAGGAGTGTCACACTGAGAATCATGAATAATTTTGTATGCACCATGTCATAGGCTATTATGTTTTTATAGTTAAAAGAGGCAGGGCATAAAAACAGAGATACGGAACTCTCTAAATTTTGTGACTTTATTTGCAGTCAAACGTGAATAATTTCTACCTTAAAGTTCTCCTTATGGACATAATATATTTTTATTGTAAGTAATTAATGAAAAGCTGACAGCTCCATGAGAGCAATAAAACACTTGTTTTAGCAGAGAGAATGAGAAATAGCATAATTTAAGAATAATCAGCTGGACACTGTTCCATTTGCCTGTATTTTCAGCTAGTCAGGATGTTAATGTGGGAAGACCACTTGAGCCCAGGATTTCATGGCCAGCCTGCAAAATATTGCTACACCCATTTTCTCCAAAAAGAAAATAACATTCTGGGTCATGAAAAACCTCAAAAACTGCCCCTCAAAACAGGAACAAATATAATTTCATTAGACTGTGGATCCATTTTGACACAAAACAGTGACACTATGCCAGTAATGAGTACAGATTAACATTCAGTTGTTATTTTAAGAAATACAGACTCTCAGAGACATCAGGCAGAGGCTGTCTAAGGCAACACTGCCAAATGATTCTTTTCCATCGACATTGTGTGTATATCCAGGAATGCACCTGTGAATGGTGACATCATGTCTCTCATAGTATAAAGTAAAAAGACATTACTACTCATCTAACAAAGGATTAATAGTGAGAATATACCAGGATCTCAAACGACTCTATAGGAAAAAATCTAGCTATCTGAATAAAAAGTGGACAATAATTATTTCTCAAAATAAGACTTTCAAATTGAAAACAGGCATATAAAAATGCACTGTACAACAATGATCATCAGAAAAATGCACAACAAAACTACAATGAAATATTATGCCATCTGATTTTAAAATGACATTCATCCTAAAACCAGGCAATAACATGCTGGAGAAGAAATGGAGAAATGGGAACATTCATAAACTATTGGTGGGCATTTAAATGAGTACAACCACTGTAAAGAACAGCTTAGCATTT